AATAATATTATCTCAATAGAAAATCAATTATGAGTGATCTCTATTTAAAACTCACAAAAGAGGTAACTAAAGCAGTTTCCTTCTATCCCTTGGCGTCTAGTACTTGACCAAATAAGTTTATGTACTGAATTTACCACTAGAGGGAGTTCCTTACATTCCCCGCCCCCCCTCACATAACAAATCTTAAAAAAGTAAAATAGTTAGCAAAAAGTTTTAGATCTCTGTAGCAACTTTAAAACAATTTTGGAGGCTGGCAAAGTGGCTCAAGTGGTAGAGGGCCTGCCTACCAGGTGTGAGGCCCTGAGTTCAAACCCTAGTATCACTAAAAAAGCAAAACAAACAACAACAAAAAAACCCAGTTTTTCTCAGCTACTTAACATGGAATAGCTGCATTTGGCATTATATTTTTAGGTACAAAGTCACTGTTAGTAAAATCATCTCTAAAGTCCCAAAGAAATAAGACAGGAAAAAAACCTTTAATTATCCAGTTGTGTTTGTGGTGTCTCCTTCTACCTTACAGCACTTGAGTTCAGGAATGGTATATCTAGAACACGGTATAGGACAATTTCTCAGTAGCTAATGCTGAATAAATGAATGAATGAAGATAATGTAACTCTTTGTGTTCACTGGGCCCTTCTTAAGTTATACTAAGTACATTGGAATTTATTAAATGTCACACAAAATAATATTGTGCTGTCTTCATAGCATACAGGCACCATGTAGTAGTGTAAGAAAAGTCAACCTATACTGCTTACAAGTAAAAGCAATAATTCTCAGGTATTTTAAAATGCTATACCCAATGATGGACTGATGCTATGATACACACCCTCATTATTCCAAATATTTAGATGTTTACATTTGTTAAGAACTTTGTGAAAATAATCTTGAGAGGGTGGGTTGAATCCTGGTAAAGAAAAAAGAACATTAGAGAAGAGAGACAATTTAATTTTAGCTCAAGGTTATCATGTAACCTTGACTGAAGCAGGTCCCTTGCTCCTCTTCACTGAGAAGAGGCACTATTTGTGCCCAAGGAGAAAATGTTGCCTACAAAAAAAAAAAGAAAGTGTCTGAGTAGTAAAGACTTGACAACTGTGCTGATGCATGTTTTGAAATGTCTGCTTACAGGAGGATAAGATCAAGTGACTGTATCTTAGGAGAAGCATTCCTAGAGCACATTCATTTCATGTACAGACTACAGGATTGCAATTCAATACATATTTGTTCATTACTTACTATACTGTACATGAGGCATTTGCTAAATGATGAGTAAGACAGTCCTTGCTCTAACATGTCAACACCCTCACAGTGATAATAAGATAAGGACTATGATGGTTACTTTTATATATTGACTTGACTAAGCCACAGGTCCCCAGACATTTGGTCAAATATTATTCTGAGTATGACCGTGAGGGAGTTTCTAGATGACATAATCATTTAAATCTGTAGATTAAGTAAAGAAAATTGCCCTGCCTAATGAGAGTAGTCCTCATCCAATTGATTCACTATCCAAATAGAATAAAAAGGCTGACTGAGAAAGAATGCTCCCACCTTCTTGAGCTGGGATATCAGTCTTATTTGGCCTTCTGACAAGAACTGAAACATAGGCTTTTCTTAGCTCCTAAAGCCTGCCACCTTTCATAGTTGCTCTCCTGAATCTCAGGCATTTGAAGTTGGACTGAAACTACACATTGGCTCTCCTGGTCTACAGCTTGTGGACTGCAGATCTTGGGATTTGTCAGCCTCCATAATCACTTGAGTGAATTGCTTTTAATAAAGTTATATATCACACACATATACACAGGTACACACACACGCACAAACACACATGCACACATAATCCTATTAGTTCTGTTTCTCTGTAGAACCCTGATTCATACAGAACCAAATTCTAAATTCCATAGTGTGACCAAAATGCCCTACATAACCTGGCCCCTAATTTCCCCTCCAATTACATCCCACAGTCCCCTCCTCTACCTCATTAGCTTCCTTCCATTTCCCATAGACCAGAGCCTTCCTCAGTCATGGGGCTTTTACTAACACACTTACTTATTCATTGACAAATCCAACTAATTAATGAGTTTCTACATGAATCTAGCATGGTGGTAGTACTAGGAATATAATGTGAACAGATAGAAACATAACTATTTCATGGAGAATAGATTCTAGTCACGGGAGATGGAAATGACATAGAAACAAGTTAATTTTAGAGAGTATATGTGCTTCAAGGGAAACAAAATTAGATGATATGAGAGTAACTTAATGATCAAAGTCTCACGTTGTAGGTGCTTTTTAAGCACAATCCAGTATGATAAAAAGTGGTCATCATGTGAAGACCTGAAGAAGCATTCCACGAAAAGAAGGAAAAACACAAAATTGACTCTGAAATATTCATATGCTAGGAGGAGCAGAAAGACAGCATGGCATAGCACAGTAGGATAGCAAAGGAAGGCAAGAGAGTAGGCAGGAGTGAGATATAGGCAGGCTTAATATCAGAACAAGGATTTAAACTTTTATTTCAAGTGCACTGGGAGCTTTAAGAGCTTGACAGAACCTGATTACCTGCTTATGCACTGCAGTGAATACAAGTTATAATAAGGGTGGATATATAAAGATAGTAGATTGGATTAAGGGGATGTACAAGAAATGAAGTGATTTGGGATGTGTTTTGAAGATGGAACAGATGGGAACTGCCAGTGTAGGTGAGGAAAAGAAAAGAGGAAGGAGACAATTTGCCTCTGCTCTTCCCTCTTCACCTAGTTAACTCCTCATTCTTTCTCAATGAAGTTCTTTCTCAACTAGTTCAAACCAAAGCTCTGTTTTAAGCATGTGCTCTTTAGTTTCCTTTAGTACCTGTGTTGCATTGCAAAAATACTCCCTAATTCTTCCCTTCCTATACCAACTGCCCTTACCCTTCAAATATGGTGTGCCCACTTGCTCTGACTCTGGTCTGGGCCATGTAACTTGCATCAAGCAATAAGATAACAACAAACATGACACAGGCAGAAACTTGAAAGGCATTTCACAGTTGGGATTGCCATGTTCTGTAGTTTGGGGCCTCCAAACCCACACAAAGAATCCTGGCTGGCCTTCCAGAGAATGAGAATCCTGTTGCCTCTGCTGACAGGCTGTTTACCCCAAGTTATGTAAGTGAAGCCATCTGCATTAGTCTATTTTGCATTATTATAAGAAAATGCCTAGGAAGGCTAAGTGTATAAAAATAGAGGTTTATTTTGTTCATAAATCTTGAGGTTCAAGAGCATGGTACTAGCACTGGCTCAACTCTGGTGAGGACATTAGGTTTCATAAGGGCAGCAGCATGAGTGGGAGAAAAAGATGGCACTTGGGTGGGGCCAGACTCTGGCTTTGTAATAGTCTTCTAGAGAATTAACCAGGGTCTCACCAGAAATACCTTAATTCCTTCCAAGGGTGTGTGTGTGTGTTGGGGGGGTTACTGGGCATTGAACTTAGGGCCTCCTGCTTAATCTCTCTGTCACTTGAGTCTTACCCCATATCTTTTGCTTTAGGTTGTTTTTCAGATAGAGTCTCAATCTTCTGCAGAGCCTGGGTTTGAGATCCTCCCACCTCCAACTCCCAAGTAGTTAGGATTACAGGTATTCACCAATGCATCCGGCCCTAGGCTCTACATCTTAAAGGTCCACCACCTCCCACTGCCACGCTGAGAACCAAGGTTCCAACCCATGAACCACTGGAGAACACACTTAAACCATACCAAAATCATAGCACCATCTGAGATCATCCAGTCAGCAGCAGACCCATTAGCTGACCAGACAGGAAGGAAAGAATCCAGCTGAACAGAATGGGAAGAACCACCCAGACTACTCATAGAATTCTGAGCCATCTAAAGGATTTTTGTAAACCACTAAATTTTATGATTTGTAACAACAAAAACTGATACAGTAGCACAAATTCAGTTGCAATTTTACATTATTTGTTTGGTTAGCAGCTATCTCTCCCGGAAGACTAAGAGCTCTGTAGGAGCAAAGATTTCTGACCTTAGGCTACCACTCTATTCTCAGAGGCCACCTGGAATACACCAGGCATTCAACATTCAGAAAGCTTGCTGAATCATGTATGCAAGGGAGTAAGAGAGGCACACATTGCAACATGAGAGAGTAAGGTGAGCTCTAAAACAGAGGTAACAAAGGACCAAGGGTACCCATTTATGCAAAATAAATTCTAATGGAGTCCCACAGGCGCTGAAGAATACAAGACCAAAATCACATTTCCTCTGCCTCAAAGAGCTCATAGCGAGAAGACGATACAGAATCAACAGGGTGTAGCCTACATTGAGGTGTAGGTGTAGGGCTACATTGAGGTGTAGGTGTAGGGCTACATTCAGGTGTAGCCCTATGCTACCTGAATGAGCAGATTGTAGAAGAAGCCCAGGGAGGTTCCCTAGGGCTGACAGTGCTTGAATTTAGACAGCATATTTACTTTGAAGGACGTCTCGATCAAATGCCAAGGACATGGGTGTCCAAAGGGAAAAAAGATTTGGGTTAGCAGGAAGCTCCTTCTTGTTATCTTATTTCCAGTGTCTAATACAAACATTTTCCACAAAGTAGGAACTCAATAAATATTTGCCGAATAAACGAAAAGATAAAGATGAGGTGGGTAAACGCGGCTCTTTTCAGAGGCAGCTTCCAAGAGCCCACATTTTCTGATTCGACACAGAGATGCAGAAGGACAAGCAAGCTCTAAGAGCACAGGTCACCTAAGCAGAGCCCAGACCCCAGGGGTCCGCCTTTCCCTCCTGGTTCCTGGTGGGATGGTTTTTTCTCCTTTGCTCACAGCCTTCTGGAAGGACTGACGAATGGGCGTTTGGTAACAGCAGCGGTTATGGAGGGTGAAAAGCCCAGGCTTCCCACAGGCAGGGGTGGTGCGTCGCCACGCCCGCAGTCCCCTTGCCACTCTGCCCTTCTGGCGGCCTTGCTGGGCTCAGGCACTGACGGCGGGGGCGCGCGCCGTGTTTCCATAGAAACGGAGTGGCCGGCGCGGCGGCGCGCGGGGCGGGCTCTCCAGCTCCCTTTGGCGGCGGCGGCTCGCGCCCCAGCGCGCACCCGGGCGTCGCGGAGCCCCCGTCGTTGCGCGCCAGCCTAGGCCCCGGCCGTGCGCGAGGCAAGATGTTGAGGCGCAGCCTGGAAAGCCGGTAACAGCCGGGGCCTAGCTGCCCACCCAAGGCGGTCTACATGCGAGGGCTGTGGTAGGCGAAGTGGAGCCTCTCCCTGGAGGGCCTCCGCGCCGAATTCGACCCCGGGCGGGAGGCTGCAAAGTCCCCAAGGCGCTGTGGGACTTGTGTCCCCAGGTTATCGCCCACCCACTCTTCCCGGCTCCGATCCCGCCTGATCGCGGGGCTCCTGGAGCCTGAAAGGCAGCGGGGCGCCCCGGCCGCGCAGCGCTCCGCAAGCAGCTGCCACCCCTCCGCGGAGATGCCGGCTCTGGCCTTCTTGGGCCTACGGAGTCCGGATGGTGAAGCCAGGCCTCGGATGGGGTCCCGGAGGAGGGTAGTCCTCTCCGGGAGACTGGGCTCTGGGGGATTTTGCACTTTCAAGACTGCAGACGCCCGGCAATGTTTGTCTATCAGATTAACGTGAAGCAATCTCTAAGGAGAATGTTTTGCTTTTTGTTTCACCTTTTTTTTATCCCCCTCCAGGGACGCTCAAACCAGACAACTGCAAGATGCTGTCACAAACGTGGAGAAGCATTTTGGGGAGCTGTGCCAAATCTTTGCTGCTTACGTGCGGAAAACTGCCAGACTGCGAGACAAAGCAGACCTCCTCGTGAATGAAATCAACGTGTATGCCTCTACGGAGACCCCACATTTAAAGCAGGGCCTGAAAAACTTTGCTGATGAGTTTGCCAAACTTCAGGATTATCGCCAAGCCGAGGTAGGGAGTGAATCATGGCGTCATTGTTAGGAATGAGCCAGAAAGTAGTGGGTGAAAGAAACATGAAGATTATTTGGCCTGATAAACGCACATTATCATGGCCGTAACCTTGTGTGTGTGTATTAAAGGGAAGCTTTCCATGGTTTACCTTGCTGTTTCCAAACCAAACTTTAGGGTGTCTTTCACTTGATTTGCCGAATTTGGCTAAGCGGTGCCCGTGAACAGAGGCTAGTGAACATAGTACCTACAGCGAGAAACAGGACTTGTATCTTGTGTGCACTTAGGTACATCTTAAGTGTGACTGGAGATGGAAAACATTGAGAATGCCAATATGAATGAATCAATTATTAATAAGTGAGCAAGATATTGATTCTTCCATGCTTTGGGACATTGACCAATGGGGGAGCTATGATTACTATCATAGAAGCAAAGCATTGTGAAGTGAGGTAGGGTGTTTTTGTTTTGCGCTTTGAATCAACAAGGACTTGTTCTTGTGATTTTTCTTCCTAAAAGCCTCCCCTCCCCTTAATTCTTAATTAGCCTTTCAAGATGCCAGATAACTTGTTAAAAGTTCTCCATTTTTTATTAGGTTTCTTGAGTATAGTTCTCACTATGTAGCCCAAGCTGGCCTCAAATTCCTTATGTGGTGGATGAAAGTCTCTGCACCAGCACGCCTATTTCATCAATGATCAATGATTTTGAGGGGATTTTGTGGTTATTGTTTGGTTTTGGCAGTACTAGGGTTTGAAGTCAGGGCATGACACTTTCAAGGCAGGCACTCTACCGCTTGAACCCCCATCTCTAGCTTCCTTTGGTTGTTTTTAAAAGCCTAAACCAGACGTAAAAATTATCAAAAAGTAAAATGAGAATAATAATCTTTGAACCCATCATTGTTTTACATAAAAAAATTTAAGCAGTAATCACTTTTGACTACCTTTTGGGAAAATGTTGAGTTCTTGTTCTATGTTTCTTCTGTAATAAGTGATTCTCTGTTATCCATAACTGGAGAGTTAATGTTTGAAAACTAATTTATATTCACAAATAATTCTAAAATCCTATTTCAGCCAATAATTTTTTCCTTTTAGAAAACTTCTATGCTATTAATAAAATAGCAAAGTGAATTGATTTACATTTGTTCTCCTTTTATTTCCCTTGCTTACTAAATAGTGGAGGTGCTAATGAACAGTGACCAAAGGTAGGCAACAAAAAAGGAGAACTGTAAAGAAAAGAAAAAAGAAGCCTTGGATAATCCTTACACTGAATGGCCAATGTATGGATTATGACAAATGGTGTAGACTAAACTATCCTGGATATTTATGGGTTTCACTTAGAATTCTAAATATTTAAATGCTTGACAGGAACTTGATTTTTTTTTCATTTTCCTAAAATCTTTTCAAATGAAATATTCATATAACATTGTTTTGAGAAACTAATGAAAAGTTAATGTAAAAGGAAATGTCTTGATTATACAAATGTTATCATTTAAAAGCCTTTTTCCTGCTACAAAAATACTTGTGCATTTTAAACAATCAAATATATGCCTTTGTATTACCTATCCTGACAGAAATTTTAATGTCCAAGAGTTGTTTTTCTTCTGCTATATTTATGACTAGCCTAGTTAAAAACATGTTTCTTCAGTTCCTTCTCTTAATGTTATTAATAAAAGAATTAAATTACTTTCTATGATAAAAGTTAAAATGTTTAAGAAAAACTGTTCTAGATTTAAATTTTAAAAATCGGCTGTAGGCCTTTTATTTTGTTCTCTAAGCTTTGACAATTCACCAGTGACTCTCAGAAAAATATTTGCAGCTGATACATTAATCCCTAAGCTTTTTTTTGCTGTTGAGTATGGTGTTTTAAAAAAAAGTTTCCAGTATACTATAGCTTTCGACTTCAATTTTCTGGAAAGTTGGGCTATTACAATTCAGAGTCTGTACTTGAAAGGTATTTTGACCCTGTGCTAATATACTGAACATGGTAGCTGTATTAAAATTTGAGATATCTTAAAACTTACCCAAAAACTGCTACTTTAAGGTTTAAAAAAAAAAAAAAAAGTAACACCAAGATCATTGTGTAGCAAGGATGGGCTCCTCACAACCCATCAGTATTTTCTTGCCATGTTTTATACCAGATACTTTTCTGTTTTTAATGTTACTTTATAGCTTAACAGCTTTAATGTGTTTGAGAGTTACCAGAGTCTTGCCAATTTCTGGTAATTAATCTTTTACTTATAATAGTATCTTAAGCAGTAGTATTCTAACTTAAAATTTTAAAAATATTAATCTTTATAGTAATTATTTCAGGTTAAAGAGCATAGATTCTATTTCAGTACTTAAATTTTGATATCTCTATGTTTCTTTTCAGTTATATTTTATAATAATTTTCAATAGGTTGAAAGACTTGAAGCCAAAGTAGTTGAACCTTTGAAAGCTTATGGAACCATTGTAAAAATGAAACGGGTAAGTAAATCCATTTCTTTTTATCCCATGATTAGGTATTCTGACAGATTATCAGTTTTCCAACTGTATTTTTAGTAAAAAATACAAAGTAATATATATAGTCATTCTTTTTTACATACTCCAGAAGATAAGTTTCTTGGATATTTGAGAATAATGAAATATTTTTAGTGACCTTACTATTTTTGTAGCAGCAAAAGACATTATTTTTGAAATTTAAAATATTTAATATTTATAGCCATGAAGTATAGACAAAAATTATTTTACTAAATGAATTTACATTTATATATTTTGTATTAAAGTAGATGATAACACTTGTACTTTTAAAATGAATATGAAAAAGTTCTATTTTTAAAATCAACTTTAGTCAGGCATGGTGGTACACACCTGTAATCCCAGCACTCAGGAGGCTGAGGCAGGAAGATCAGGAGTTCTAGGCTGTCCTGAACTACACATCAAGCTCCAGGCCAGCCTGGACTACAAAGTGAGACCCTATCTCAAAAAAAAAAGAAAAGAAAAAAATCAGCTCTATCAATGTAATTTTCATACACCCTAAAATTCTCCCATCATTGAATTTTGACAAATGTGTATGCCCACATAACCACCATATAAATTATATGTGTTTATTTTTATGGTTATAGTTTTACACTGAAATTATGTAATGACTTTGAGAGAATATTAAGGAAACGTGTTCTCTTTCACACACAAATTCTATATTACTCATTATGATATTCATAATGGTGCCTGGATTAAATGAGAAGTACTCTTCCAGTCTGAAAACAGAGTGTGTTTTTTCTCAATTTGAAAATTTTATTCATAAAAATGCTTTTTCAGGAAGACCTCAAAGCAACATTAACAGCAAGGAATCGGGAAGCTAAGCAGTTAACTCAGTTAGAAAGAACACGTCAACGAAACCCGTCAGATCGACATGTAATTGTATCCTTTGAATTTTGGTCTTTAAACAATGTTTTATAAGGTATGCAGTACATAATTAAATATATATTATACATTTCTGGTTTTTAAATGTGTGGAGAATTTTAAGATAAATGTTGAAAAGAAGCACATTTATTTAGGAATACTTAACTATGGAAATTAGCTAATTGTAAAGCTATGATTATACCACCTAATTCAGTCATTCTATTGTCTTCCACAATAGACTTTCAAAAACAAAAAATCCATTCATAAATGCAGATGTCTTTGCAGAGTAAGTTCAAAATTCTGAGATTTTTTTATATGACTATTAATTATAAAATTAAAGATCTTTCATTAATGCTAATGTACCAATGCTCTCTGCCCCACTTTTGAAAAAAAGAAAATAAATCCCACAATAATTCCCTTCATCCTTAAAAAAAAAACCCAACAATAAAAATCTTATATTAACCATACTTAACAGCTTCCAGCCGGACCTTTAGGACATTTAAGAGTGTAAATGAAGCACACAATGGGACACAGTGGAATCTAAATAGGAGTGTCTACTGGAACCCATAACAAGGTTCTTCTGGTAAACATGACTATTTCTTAATCTAGGGTGTGCCTTGTTCATGACTAACAAAAGCATAGCAAATAATTGCTAAGTGCCAGCAATTAGGATAGGTAGGACTGTATAGAAAGTACTAACATATCCCTGCTGCCTCTTTTTCCCATTCTTCCTTACACATAACCTGCTTCCTTAAGGTTGTTACTGCCTAGCTCAGCCAGAAAGCACATGAGGACTGGCTTGTAGGAGGCATGTGAGGTTCCCAAACACCTCCATTCATGAATGGAGTCCCTTGAGCAGTCCTTCTTCCTTTGGAACAAAGATACATAAGCCCAATCTTGTACCAAACAAAAATAGGCAGCCATACGCTGCGAGACCTATTGGAGGCTGGGAGAGGAACATCTAGCCAATTACTGAAGTTTAAGATCTCAAACTAGAAATTATTGGGTCTGTTTTAAGTTAAGTCAGACAAACCAGAGAATGCTGGAAAACTCATTACTGACAACTAGAGATCTCCCTGTGGCAGAGGCCAAGGGAAAGCCACTGGTGTTTGGAAGTTAAAAATACTTGTTTCATTTTGTTGTGGGGTGGGAGGGAGTGTTGGTACATGAACGCAGATAAAATATAACATCTGGAATCTCCAGCAATTGGTGCTTGGGTATTTATATTGACACAACGCAGAAATGAATATGTTGCTAAGACAAAGATTTTTCTGATTTAGGTGTTTTGTGGTCAAAACTGCTGTGGAGGAGGTAGTCTTACAACATACATGAAACAAGTTGTGGGTTCACAAGGATGAGGGGTAATAAATGCAACAACAGAAGAGATTACTGCTACAAGTGAACTGATTTGTTCACTGGCTAGGATCTACAACTTGTGAGTTTTGACAACCTGAAATCAGAAAGTAAAATACAATCTCCATGTAAATGTATTCAGTAGAAAAAAAAAGAAATTCAGTCACAGCAACATAGTATTTTTTTTTTACCAGGATAGATCCTTAAAATTCAACTACCTCTTTATTCAAAAGTATGCTGATGTTCAATATATAAACTAAAATAGTCCCTGTGAGTAAAGAAGAGAAGAAATCCCAGGGTTTTGCCTGCTCATGCCCCAAGGAAGGCCCTAAGTAACTTGTAATCAGGCTGCCTGTAACACAATTTGAAAAATATCAGTCTGGCCCCCCCATTTTATAATTCCTTTGAAACCCTTGAATAATTCCACTGAATATACTGATACAGTATTCATGGGGATATAGCTTAATATTTTAATCAGCATTTCTGACTCAAATCGGTGTAATTCTAAGATTTTGAAGAATTCTTAGTAAAAGGAAGAATTACTAGAAATCGATACTCTTTTGCTAGAACTAGCTGTGTGATTCTGGGTAAATTACTGTGCTCAGGCAAAGGAATTTCAGACTTTCAGAAATAGAAGTTGCCAGAGGGTGACAGAAGGTTAAGATGCAAAGGTCCCAATTATGGCTTCTGCTTCCCCATCTTTACTAGTTTAGCCAACTCTACATGTACTTCCACATTTTCATATGAAAATTTCAATAAAGGGGGAGGGGAAAGACATGAATCAAAAGGAAATAAAAGAACATCAGTCAAGTGTAATAATTACTAGGAATCATCCTGCTTGAATATTTTCAGCAAAAGAAAAAGTCATCAAAGAAGTGATAATGATTTTTCATAATAAACTGGGCTCTATTTTATATCTGGATTTCCTGTGATGAGGATATTAAAGAATCCCCAAGCCAAGCAATATAAAGAAATGCTTTTAATACTAGTTATAATTAAGTTGAAGATTTCTATGGTTTTTAAAACTTTACACTCCATAGAACATATGTATAAAAGCTAGATACAAATGAATATATTTTAAGTGCTTAGTATCAAATTGTATATTTAAGAGTATAGAAGTAGTAAGAGTGTATAACTGTGTTAAAGTACATGATTTTAATTTATTGACAAAGTTATTCTTTGAAATGTATTTTTTCCTTTATGAAAACTTTCAGTCACAGGTGGGCAATAAAGTGGTGTGTCAAGAAATGGATTCTTATAGTAAACCCTTTTACTTGTTTCAATTTGTACATTTTCTTGAACAAGCAGTGATTAAATGTCATAATATTACATGCAAATTTTTTCCATGAGTAGTTATTAAGTGATGCTATATGAGACTTTTGAGCAAATTCAATGCTAGCATAAGGAACAAAACTTTATTAGGGAGAATTTAATCAGAAAAACTGGGCTGTCTTTTCAAATCTCTATGTTATTGCCCAAGAAAACATTTTAATGTTTTTGGATAAGTACTGTCATTAAAAAGAAGAGATGCTTAAAGAGAAATACATGATTAAATTGGAAATGTTCTGCACTTAACAGTTCTGTTGCCACTGTATATGACTGTTAGGTTCTTGAAATGCAACTAGAATAACCTAGGATACAGTTTCCACATTTTTATAGAATCAGAACTATTTAATTCAGGAGGGAGGGAGGAAGAAAACGAGGGAGGCAAGCAGGCTTAACGTATTTGGAGAACTATTAAAAGCGGGGTATGGCTGGTGAAGTGGCTCCAGTGCCTGTGTCGCAAGTACAAAGCACCAAGTTCAACCCTCCAGCACTGCCCCTCCTCCAAAAATAAAGTAAGCAAGGTGATAAGAGACTTCAGTTATATTCTTGCTAGCCTTAAGTACTTCAATGTTATTACGATAAAAAAGATTAGATTCTCAGTTGTGGAAACTGTCATATCCATAGTTCTTTTTACTGTGTACGTCAGTCCTTTACAAAGATTATTTCAGTTAATCCATACAACAGTCCCGTGAAATAAACTCCATTGTATTTTACAGATTGAGATATTTGAAAGCATTGAAAATACTCGTTAATAAACAAGTACTTTCTTGAGAGAAGCAAAAGGAAGAGAGATAAGAAAAAGGATAGATAGTATGATAAATGGCACAATAGATGGGTGCAGTAGAACAGAGGAAATGGTTTTATTGTAAATCATCCAAGGGTGAGAGGGAAGAAAGTGGTTTCAGAGAAAGGGAACGATTTTTGTTTTGAGTCCATTAATCATGTCACTAAATAGATTTAACGTTCTCTATTCTGCATGTCATATTGATCATTTTATTATATCTGGTAAAATATAATGCTGAACAGTATACACTGTTATGCCAAAAAGCCAAGTATTGCAATGGTGACATTTACCAATAGACTCAACTGAATGGATTCTGATTTGATTTTTTTATTTGGGGGCGGGGAATGCTTTTAAAGGCAGAAACTGAATTACAAAGAGCTACAATGGATGCTACCCGAACAACTCGTCATTTGGAGGAAACTATTGACAATTTTGAAAAGCAGAAAATAAAGGATATAAAGGTAATTAAGTAACTGTTAAGGCTCAAAACATGTTTTTTAATCTCAATTTTTAAATTTATGAAAAACTTAACTTACTGATATTTTAGCCCATATGAAAAAAAATATTATAGGTAAGAGTATATCAAATGTTATTCTCCTGTGAACACAAATGATATACAAAGGGGCTCCATTCCTAACCAGTGGCCACTTTTATCCCTAATATTGAGCAGAGTGGCTCAAATGTAGAGTTCCTGCCTAGCAAGTATGCAGCCCTGAATTCAAACCCCAGTACTGAAAAAAAAGGAGGGGGGGTGGACAGGCGAATGTTTATTGGGTTTTTATCTAGCAGGTGCCGATCTAGGTTCTTTACATAAATTATCTTTCAACTTTCACAGCAATCCCATGAAGTATAGTATTATTATTAAACAGATACAAAGTAATTTACCCAGGGACCACAGTCAGAAATAGGAGTTATAAACCAGGGATTTTTTATTGTTTTTCATTATAATACACTATCAATAATATCTATAGCATGAAATTTTCTAATCACTACATTTTATCAAATAAATAAATGGTAGTAATTACCAACTGAATCAATTTGCATCCATCACTACAATAAGGTGGTTTATTCAACAAAATCACAATAATTGCCTTATTTTCTTATAACACATCAATAGATTCTTTTTCAGGATCATGAAATTCAGCAGGTTTTCAGTTGACATTTTTTTCTAAATAAAGTCTTAGAAAGATCTAAATATTGCTTATGACCATCATATATTCTTTAAAAAAACTGCATTTAAGGATCTTTTTAGCTCTCTGTAAATTGTCCTATAACAAACTTTCAAAGTAGTTTTTGTATTTTCCTCTGCCCTTAACCAATAAAGTGAGCATTATCTGCCACTTGATTATATAATCCATCTCTGAAATCTAGAAGCAACATTCATTTGCATCTTCTACTTTTATTTCCTCTTATAGTTTCAAAGGATTTAAGAACTTTGGCCTTTCAGTTTGGTCATAGGCTCTGTACTGTCATGTATAAAAGCAGGTTGCTACTCACAGAAAAGCATCTGAAGAGGCTTCCCTAAAATAAATGCCTTTACTAAGCTGGGAATCAGGAAAGTATGAAGTTCTACAACAGCTAACATCCACTCTTAAAAAACTGGGGGTTAAAGAAAGTTTTTATTAAGAGAATTAGCTTAAACCTGAAAAATGAGAATGGAGACTTGGGAGGTGTAGCTGATTCCACTGTCACCTAAGGACTCCTTAGTAATGGGAGTCTGATTCCTTGCCCCACCACTGTTCATTGGACATGCAAAATTCTTTAATATATGGACATTCATCTTTGTTCTGATCTGTGGGTTCACTTCTGTGTTCTACCTGCATGCTGGCTACCTCTACAGGAGTTATTAATTTCCTGAGCATTACCAAGTACAAAACTGGGGCAGAAAAGGTGAGTGCAGAATTCCCAACTACAATTTCTACTGCATGGGATTTTCTGAAATCCCAGGGGCTGCACAGTGGAGGGTGCACAGGGAGTATGCAAGCTTTTTTCTCCTTACCTGCAATATCATGCCTCTCAAAAAGAGTCTCCTGATGGTTTCAAGGGGGAAAAAAACAGAAACACATCTTCACCTTCATAAAATTTAGATAGAATTCAAAATGTACATCTTACTGGTTTTTAATATATTCACAGCCATGTACAACTATCTCCAATTTTAGAACACTTTTCATAACCCCAACCTTGTACACATTAGCTTTTACCTCCTTGCGTGCCTCCCAGTCCTAAGCAACACCATTAATCTTGTCTTTTATGATTTGGGCTATTCTGGACATTACATATGAAAGGAATCATACCTGGTTTTTGTGACTGGTTCCTTTCACTTAGCATGCTTTCAAGGCTTATCCATAGTTGGAGCTTGCATCAGTACTTCATTGTTTTATGGTCAAATAACATTCTATTGATTGTATGGACATTACATTTTGTTTATCATTATTTAATGGACATTTGAGTTTTCCCCAGTATATAATATGGTAAGGTAACTCTTTGAGGAATTGCCAGATTGTTCCAAAGTGGCTGTATTATTGTACATTCCCTCTGGAAAGTGTACGAGAGTCCCAATTTCTTTGCATCCTCAATACTTATTTATCAGACTTTTTTGTGAGAGTGGGATAGTGTTTGAGACAAGATCTTGCTCTGTATGCCAGGCTGGCCTTGAACTCAGTCCTCCTGTCTTAGCCTCCCAAATCCTGAGATTTCAGGCATGTGCCACCATACCCAACTTCATCAGACTTCTTAATTGTAGCCACACTGTACCTCAGTGTGGTTTTGATTTGCATTCTCTGATAATTCTTATTGACTATTTATATACATTTTCCTTGAAGAAATGGCTATTCAGATCTTTTGTCTATATTTTGTCTTTATTAGTGGGTTGTAAGTTTATATAAATGTAATATATATACACATATTATATATGTATATTATATATTCCTCCCCCCCAATAACAAGTCCCTTATTAGGTAAATGACTTGCAACCATCTTCTCCCATTTCATTAGTTGTCTTTTCACTTTCTTGATGGTGTCACATGAAGCATGGGTTTTTAATTTTGATGAAGTCCAATTTCGTTTCTTCTGTTTGTGCTTTAGTGTCAGTTAAGAATCCACTGCCAAATTTGAGGTCATGATTTACCTCTGCTTTCTTCTAATAGTTTTATAATCTTATATTGTCTTTGATCCATTTAATTTTTAATTTGGTATGAACTGAAGGTTAAATTTCATTCTTTCATATTAAAATATCCAGTTGTCATGTCACCATTTGAAGAGACTACTCTTTGCTCACGGAATGGCCTTGGTACCGTTGTTGAAAACCAGTTGACATGGGGTTTTTTTGTTTTTTTCTGAACTCTTATTCTCAGTAATCTGAATCTATCCTTATACAGTGCCAATAACACTGTCTTACCATTACTTTGTGGTAAGTTTTAAAACAGATTGTATGAGTCTTCGTATTGCCTTCTTTATAGATTGACTTTGGATACTGGATGTTGCAATTCTGTATTATTTTTTACAGTCAGCTTATCAGTTTCTACAAATCAGATGGGATTCTAATAGGGATTGCACTGAATCTACAGAATATTTGAGAGTATTAACATCCTAAAACTAATTCTTCTAATCTATGAATATGGGATGTTTATCAATTATTTAAGTTCTCCTTAAATTTTTAAGTAGTATTTTTAGTTTTCAGAGTGTGGTGAAGTAGTTGATATAAGCAAGAAACAAATTTAATAACAAATGTTTCTTAACCATGGAGTATGTACAAGGTACCATCCTAGGTATAATATGTAGATAAACTCATTTACTCCTCACAACACTCTTAGGAGAAAGGTACTATTATTACCATAGTTTTAAATAAATTAGACACTAAATGTTGCATCTTATTTTAAAAATTTAACATATGAGCATATTCATGATGAGAAATAAGAGACCATATTATCCCTTTTTGGTATTCTCACAGTTATCTTATAAAATATTAGTTTAATAAGCCTTGATTGGTGGATATCGAGGTTGTTTTTGCAATTGTAAATGATTTTATCATTGAACATCCTTAAATATCAGCCTTTGTGCTAGTCCAGTGATTCTCATGGAATAAGTTGCTAGGAGTGGAGTTCCTGGTTCAAAGAACATGTACTTTCAATTATAATACCTATTTTTAAAACTTCCTCCCACAAAAGTTGAACTACTGTACCTTGTATTATTAGCACCCATGTAGCAAGGATTAATATTTTCAATTACAGCCAATCTGATGGACAACCAACATCTCATCATAGTTTTCATTACTACTATTGAGGCAGTATTGTTTCATGTATCTAGTGTCACATCTTATTTCTTTAGCCAAAACTTCTATTTGAGGCTGGTATTTTTCTTACTTCATTACATTGAGGAAAAATAACCATTTATTTTAATAGAAGGCATGTTAATAAGTTTTCTCATTTTATTGCTTATGGTGTTTTGCCACCTTAAAGCTTTATTTTTGCTGCCTTTCATTTCTGCCTTGGTGTCATGCTTAGAAAAGTTGTTTTCATCCCCAACATTATATAAATATTTTCCTATATTTTCTTCTAGTTATTAGTATGATTTTTAAAAACATACTGTGGTTTTAAAAATATTGTAAATATTTAAATTTTCTGGTGGTTGTGTTTTGCATATGATATGAACAGAAAATTCTAACAGCCTTTTCCAGAGCATGTACTCTGGAAAACCACCATTTGCCCTTGCCTAAATGTTAACAAGACCACTTACAAAGTTTTTGTTAAATATCTTGCTTGCCAATCAAAAACAGACAGAGGTTTTAATATTACTGGTAAGGAATATTTTCTAAGTTATCTGACATCTTAGTTCTGCTGTTTTCTCCGTAGGAGTTTCCACACTGCTTAAGAGCATTTGACTCCTTTCTGGTAGGGACATTAACAGCTAAGAAAATTAAGTCCCAGCCCTGGTCAGAAGCCACTCAACCTCTATGGTATCCTTGTATAATGGACATTTAGTATGAAATCCAAAATTGTTAGCATAGGGCTATTTTTTTCTAATAGTCAGTTGCTGTGACCCTATATAAAGTGACAGTAAGGGCCATTGTTGGTCACAATTATGTATCTCATATCTCAGAGCCTAGTCTTCTGCATCAATTGAAGTTACTAAAATAACAGTTTCAGAACTTAACTAGAATACTTACAAGCATGTGGTATCAGAGTACAAAGTGGCATATATTTTAGTTAGGTCTTTTTTTATCACAAATGTCAATTACCAGGTATAAAGAAAACTAAATAAAACAAAAAATAAGAGGGAAATGAATATTGATATAGGAAACTTTGTATAATTTTAAATTTTGCTGTAAAAATCTTCACAACTATTTTTATCTCAGTTATCTTTTGCCTTACAGAAAAACAGATGCCTTGGTCCTTCAGAAAATGCCCAGAATAAAGAATAAACTTGATAAATTCATAAAACAATTCAAATGTTTAAACTCAAATCTTTGGTTTTTTTTAGAATATATTTTCAGAATTTATCACAATCGAAATGTTATTTCATGGCAAAGCTTTAGAGGTCTACACTGCTGCCTACCAAAACATACAAAAGATTGACGAGGATGAAGATTTAGAGGTAGGACTATGTCTATCTAAGCTCAGTTCTTCTGTCATATGGAAATGTTTGGGAACAGTAGATGTATGGGTAAACATATCCTAAATCAGAACTCTACAATGGTTTATATTGTGTGTAATCCAAATAGCTGAACTTTTGTGATTTTCTTCCATTTCTATTGTCATTTGACTTAGTGTCACTTGCTTCCAAATACTAAAGCTAAGGTTTCTTAATTTATATTCTGTTTATAAAAGATTATGATGGCTTTTACCTGTCAATTATAAAATAATAGCAAATGTTTATATAGTGATTGCTTTCAGCTGACCTATACATTTTAACTGTCCTAATTATCTTAATCCTCCCATGAATTTTAATAAAAGTACTTAATGTCCTCATTTCTACAGATGAGAAAACTGAAGCAGAGTGATTAAGAAACTTCCCAGAGGTCCTATAGCTAATTATTAAGTAGCAGAGCTGTGGGTCAACTCCAGAACTCAGACTGCAGTGCTGTTTCAAATACTCTGTACATAAGGCTACCAAAAATGTGATTCTGGATGAGTGAAATGAACTTTTTCCTGCAGGAAACAACACTGCATTGAGTGGCAGGTTCAAAAACCAATCCCCTACTTTCCTTGCAACACTGGAGGTCTACTTGAGAAGTATTTCCAGTCTTTTTCCTAACACCCTTGATATGCCATTTGGTAACTGACAACTAAGTTTCCTTCAAGTTCTTTGATCCCTAAGACTTTCCTTCTCCTTCCAGAGGCCCTAGAGAACTTTTTTGGTCACACTATTTCCATTACAACTTCTCTTATCTTAATCAGCTAGCTAGGTAGTTTTTGGGAGGAGAGATCCATGAAAAAGGTTCCAAGCTGGTGGTAGATGTGTTTTTGAACTTCCCCCACTTTCTAGTAGAGTAATACTCGGGAAAGTTGGGCAAGTCAACTTCTGTATACTTCTGCTTCCTGCTGAAATGTAAATTCTAATACTTACCTCATCAGATGTTTGTTCAGCAACTGTTATTCAGCACCTATCTGCTAGGCACCATTTTAAGTGCTGAGGATTTAGCATTGTAAGTGAAATAGTCCATGTTGTCAAAGCAGGAAATTTAAAAGCTACCAGGGAGTTCAGACATTTAAAAAAAAATACTTTGTATAGCTATTTACATTTTATAATGCAACCAATTTCTATGATGAAGGGTTCTAATAATCTCAAGAATCAAATAATCAAATAATCTCAAGAAAGAAGCTTGAGAGATGAGGATACCTAGCAAAACTTTCATGCAGACAGCCTATAGATGAACAAAGGTCCTGGGGCAAGCTGTTGAGAATACAGAGCAATGTATTTTAAATATTTAGCACAGGAGAGAACACATGCATTTACTGAATGAACCATAGGCCTAAACTACTATTATTATTATGCCACCAAGCAACTGTGAAGAAAGGAGAGCAGTTTAGAGAGCTGTGCAATCAGGGGAATTAAAACTATCCAGTAGGTCCCAAGGGGAGGAAGGAGCCCATGAATACAAAGTTTCTTGGAAACAAGTAGAAGAAACACAAAGAGAGAAACAGCTTGTTTTTCTTTGAGGTAGTCCATACTTCACAAGAACTATTAAGATTTATTCCAGTAGCAGCTAAATACTTGCAGTTAGGCATTCTAGTTATATTACAAACCATCTTACCTTACTTGTTCTTCAAATGTAAATTATTGTCAGGCCCATTTTCCCCTTCCAAAATTACTTCTGTGTAATCATTTCAGAGAATATTCATATCTTGACATTCACTCCTAAAAAAGATCTTGGATCATGCCAGAAAATGCATTATTGCCAATAAATTAATCTTTCTGAAAATCTGTTGTTTTACAATAAAGAGGTTAATTTAGTAAATATTTAATTGGTTTAAATTTTTATCCCAAGGGTTCTATATAGTCTTCCATTTTCTTATTTCATCTTTGCTAGTGAAGTTAAAAAAGGAACATTCAACCAAAAATATATCCCATCCAAGAAGAATTCAACTATGATATATAAGAACTTTTAAAAGTATCACAATGTACCCCAGTACAAAAATATGATAAAAATATTTATAGAAAAAATATATATATACCCTCCAAAACCAGCTGATTGAGTCATCCAACTTTCTTATCACTTTCCAATTGATTAAGAAAATGTTCCAATTCTTCTGTCTTCAAAACAGAATTTGGCCCTCAGTAACCTGATAACCTAACATACAACTGCCCTAAATTGCAAGCCTTAAGTTTTAAATTGTCCTAAATTTGAAGCCATACCTCCTTACTTTTATCCCTTGATTCCTTTTGTGTCCTTCAGTTCTCTGAGATCTAAAGGAGTACGTGTAGACTTCCCTTAGTTTGGGTCTCCTTTTTCTTTCACACCATGGGAATTAAGTTCATGTTAACATTCACTGAGCAAAAGTGAATTGATTGACATCATCTATTCAGATGAGTTGCAAAGATAAAACATTTAGGGCTCCTTGCACTAGCAGCACTTAAGAATAGTTGTTGGAGAAGGACATTTAATCAATTAAAAACAGCAATACAGGTTGGGTGTGGTGGTTCATGCCTGTGGTCCCACTGACCTAGGAGACAGAGATCCAGGAGATCACAGTTTGAGGCCATCCCAGGCAAAAAGTTAGTGAGACCCCATCTCAACCAATAAAAATGGCATGGTGATGCACACCTTCATCCCAGCTACATGAGAGGTATAAACAGAAGGTCCAGGTTGACTTGGGCAAAAATGCAAGACTCTATTCAAAAATAAAGCAAAAGGGACTGGACGTGTGGCTCAAGGGTTGGGTTGCCCACCTAGCAATCACGAGGTCCAGAGTTCAAACTCCAGTACTAAAAAGGGGGGGAAAAAAGCTTATTCTCGAGGATATAAACTATAGGAGCTACTGACTAGAGAAACGCACTGAAAGGATGAGTACGTTTGCTGGGATCCCAGACCACGGAGCCAGCATTACAAAGGCACAGTGTAATATAGGTTAGGTATGTAGGCTAAAAGAGTGGTATAAGCTCAAATGATTGAACTTACTTGGTTGTCACCTAAAGCATTTTGACTCTGGTTGTCAAGAGCCACAAGTTTTTCTAGTAGAGAAAATACACTTAGGTCTTCAATAAGCAAGTCTAAATAAGCTATAAAGAAAGGTGTGCAGTTAAAAAAAAAGAAAGAAATTTAGGGATAATGCTACTATACTAGTATATTGTCTTTCATTGTAAAATTGAGCTTAGAGCTGCTTGGTCCATATAAGTATGTAACTATTTAAGGTTAAAATTCAGTTCCTCATCCACATGAACCCCATTTCAAGTGCATAGTAGCCACATATGGCCAGTAAAAAGCATTATTTCCATCATCTCAGAACCTTATATTGTACAGTGCTGGTCATTGTACAGTAGCTGGGAGCATGAATATGTCTGTCTGAAGTGTGTGTGGAGTAAATATAGAGAATGGATTGGTTGAAGAGTAGCCAAATACTAGATAAGATTTTTCAGAGAAACACATTTTTAAGGGAAACCCTTAAAAATTAAAAAAAAAAAAGTTTAAGGTGTAGGCTGGTACAACGAAAGAGTTTGGTGACAACATGCAATATGAAAAAAGGTTTCAGAACAGGGTCTTTTGAAGACAAAATGATCCTGATGATTAAAAGTATTTGTACATTTGAAGTTTTGGATGAAGAAAAAATTCACATTGAAAGGATCAGAATAACACTTGCCTTTTACAAAAAGAGGATGGGCTGACGAGTTCTGAGTAGAAAGAGGGAAGATGATGAAATTTATCTGATAATCTTACGTTAGTTTGTTAGAGAAGTGGGGGAAGAGAAATAGGAAGGCTAAAGATAGAAGATTTTAAAGTACTGCATTAAGGAAAAATAACTGACAAATCTTAGTAGCCTACTCCTAATGAGGTTGGAACTCATAAATGATAATGGCTCCAGTGTACTCTTACGTACTTTTTCCATAGCAGTACTGCAGTGAAGTTAAATTGATGAGCTGATGATAGGCAAAACAAAAAGAATCCAAGCTGTGGGCTATGGTGGCCATATTAGCTTTGTATACTTTGAGGGCAAGAACTTTTGCAATTCCCTGGCAAAACACCTGAGTCTTTCTTTTCTTTCATGACTTAATTACTGCTCGCATGTCTCATCATCAAATAAAACTTAACTTTTAGTCTTCATCTTTCCAACCTTAACTATTTTTGTAGTTCTTCCTCACAAATGTACAGTTAATTAGAATTTGCTCCATGGAGGCAGTACTTAAAAGATCTTAACTAAGAGGAACTTAATTTTAATTTGGCTATTTAAATTTTCATTTAGTATCTACTTCATAATGTTGTTTTGTCATTGCAATAGGTTTTCAGAAATTCTCTGTATCCACCAGATTATTCATCTCGTTTAGATATTGTAAGAGCAAATTCAAAATCACCTCTTCAGAGATCACTGTCAGCTAAGTGTACATCTGGAACAGGTCAGGTGAGCTAAAAACTGTAACTTAAAAGACTTTGAGTTATTGTCTTTGGAATTGTTTAGTACTAAAAATGTTTCCCTTCAGTCATATGACTTCACGTAATTTACTCTCTCTGGGGCTATTTCCTCTTTTGTAAAATGATGGAAAGTTGCACTTTTATCTTTTATATTATCATCACACATTACACTCTGAACGGAGCCACTTAAGAACAGAGATAGAAGACAGAGAATGCCATGTAATATGTTGGTGAAGAGAATAGATTCTGAAATCAAGTAACTATCTTAGTGGATCTATTCAGATATTATGCCTGAAAAATAGCTGAACGTGATCACAGATCCAGAAATAGAGCTCTTTACAGAGTGAGCCAATTTTCTCACTTCTTCTACATCCAGAAATTCTGAAGCAGGGCCGGACAATAACATGACAACTATGATCTAGAGAGCTATGTATCACCTTTTCCCATCTAACCTTCATAATTTAAAATTACATGAAATATTTTCAAAATACGACTTTTAAGTAAATTTGATTCAAAACCTATTCTCATTTGATTCTCTTTTTAGCACTCACTTTCTACTTTATTTATCTGCCTCTTTCCTAATCAAATTATACTTTTAATTATCAGTAAGTGCCTTGCACATGATATCATTAATCTAGTATTATATTACATCTAAAGTTTTGAGTACTTAGAATTAAATGTTACCTAAATTGGCTAATAGTTGTACAGGTGTTTAAAATACATTATCCAAAGGGTTTTCAACTTAATCTCTATTGGCGTGGGACAGGTAATTTGGGGATACTGTCCTGTACATTGTAAAGATGCTCAGCAGCATCTCGAGGCTTTACCAGACTGCAAGATGCCAGTAGTCACACACACACTCACACACACACACACACACACACACACACACACACACACACACACAGTGACAACTACCAAGTCTCTAGACATTGGCAAATGTCTCATAGGAGATATAATCACCCTCAGAGATGTTTTAAGCAAGATGAACCAAGTGAAGATTCTTAACCCATTCCATTTAAATCACACTACTTTTATATCAGTATTTCTGACCTACTGCCTAAGTCTTTATTTTTGCTGTCAAATACTGCAAAAGCATATTTTTAACATTCCCACAATATGTAATTAATGTTAAAGATACACACAATACTTTTAGTTACTGAAGTACTAGTGGCCACTTAACTGGAATCAAATGATTGAGTTTACATAGATGCTTTTTCAACATTAAAATACAGTAATTCAGAAGGAATTTTCATTACTAAAAATTATCATGTATGGCAATTTTTCTAAAATACTTGTTATTTGCATCTTTTCTATTAAGAGCATGTAAAAAGTTACCAAGAATGCAAAAATATTTTTAAGTTAGTATTTTTTATTTTAAAAAAATGTGTTAATTTTTAACAGCTATCCACCTGCCGACTAAGAAAGGATCAACAAGTAGAAGATGATGATAAAGATGATGAAGACTTAGATGTCACAGAAGATGAAAATCAATTTTAAGTAAACTTCACATTTCCATTTGCATCTTAAATGACTTGAAATTCAGAATTACCAATGGTAATACTTTATACTCACTTGATAGGTTCAACCTCAAAATGAAATCCTACTAAGAAATGGAAAAATAATTAAAGGAAATTCATGCTGACCAAAAATGAAGGTTTTTAAAAAATATTACACACCAGTCATTTGAGCATCCTGCCTAGTGTGGTATGTCATCTTTTCGTGCTAAGTTCCATTTTTTTTAAAAAAGAAAAAAGTTTATTTCAAAGCATTTTCAATTATGCACTATACCTAGTTGAAGTTGCAACAGTAAATGGATAAAAAAACAAAAGATCTAACAATTCCTATTTGTGTCCTTTAGGTTTTGACTCCATGTTTTTAACACCAGAAAAGGTCTGCTCACATACAAGTTCTACTCCATTAAGCCTTAAGAAAAATTTTTTCTTCTGCTAAAACCTTATGTTTCATTATTTGATATATAAGTTTACCCTCTTCAACAAGATTATAATCAAATAAAGATAATGGGACACTACAATAGCAGATTTTGCATAATATATAGCTAAAATTTTAGCATTTTTAGATATATTCCAACTGATTGTGGTTTTAACATAAGACTGCTATCACACTAAAGCATATGTGATACTGTAACTGAGAAGGCAAGTAATCTGTTGGAATGTTGCCTCATCATCAAACACCATAATCATTAAAAACTCTGTAAAAATTTTGCCAGGATACCATCTACTTAATAAACCAGTATATTTCTAAACACATAAAAACTGGCTGGGCATAATAGCTCAAGCCTGTAATCCTAGCTACTTGGGAGATGGAGATTGGCAGGATTACAGTCTGGGGCCAGCTGGGACAAAAAGTTCGAGACCCCATCTCATTCAATGGCTGGGCACGTACTTCTCTGTCATCCCAGCTATGCAGGAAAGCAGAACTATGAGGATCACAGTCCAGGCTGGCCAGATATAAAAGCAAGAGCCTATCTCAAAAATACCAAAGCAAAAAGGGCTGGCAGCACAGCTCAAGTGGTAGAGCCTAGCAAGCGTGAGGCTCTGAGTTCAACCCTCAGCACTGCCAAAATATTAAAAACAAAACAATTTAGTCAGAGCCTGTCAGTATATCTTTATACTTTTGCTTCTTTTAGTAAGGAATAATACTTTGCTACTTTTGAATCCCAGTCATACATACAAAAATTATGAAATTTAAATCATTTGAGATAACTGGAAAAAAACAATATTCATAACAATAAATACTTTCCAGAAAGCTTTTTGACTTGTCATTCATGGTTCTGTTTTTAACAAAGCAGTGCTTCCCAAGAACAGTTTAAACTGATAAAACTTTAGCACTTTAAAAATTCAAAACACTTAAAACTCCAATGAGGGAAATTATCCTTGGATTTTTGTTAAGTCAGTACTTAAATATGGTGTAGTTCAGGGTAAACAGGATTACAGTATTTTTTTAGCTACTCACTAAATAGTAACTTCTTAGTTGCCTCGTCTATAAAATCAAAGCAGTACCTAATTCATAATTAATCAACTGATGGTTCTGGAATAAAACAGAAATATGCAAAAGACAGGAATACTATTAATGAGAATACTTTCATCAGTGTAAAATTAAGTTTCATTATTTAAACCAAACCAGACTTAGGTTGACACACTATTAAAAGACCAGATAAACATTTTACACTTTTTGGGCCAGGAGGCAAAATCAAGGATATTGTAACCATTTTAAATGCAACCACATTTAAAAATGTAAAAACTAATCTTAGTTTCCCTGTTGTTAAAAAAAAAAAAAAAAAAAAAACAGGGAAACAACCCAGTAGGTTATTTAGCCTGTAGGACTCCATCTCATACCTCCAAGATAGGAATAAATTTATTAGCATTATCAAAATTAAGTTATGCACCTTAATAAACAACACTTAATGCAAAGGAGGATGTGGGTAGGGACAGTGCTTAATAAGTAATATAGGTCAAAGGCTACTGCTCTTAACTAGGTTTCAGTAAACAGATAAAAGTGCAATCAGATCAAGGGCAAACACAACAAGGGGATTGGACTTTGATCACATGATGAGGCAAGAGACACAAGGGAGGTATGAAGATAGACAAGAAACCCCAAAAAAACAAGATAGCATTTAATGTCCTCAATGCAAAGGAACCAATACACAAACTTTAAAGTGACAGAGGCCAATAGGAGAAGGGGACCAGGAACTAGTGAAAAGGTTAGTTCGAGAAGAATTAATTTAGAAGGTAACACACATGTACAGGAAAGCAATGCGAGTCAACTCTCTGTATAGCTATCCTTATCTCAACTAGCAAAAACCCTTATTCCTTCCTATTATTGCTTATACTCTCTCTTCAACAAAATTAGAGATAAGGGCCAAATAGTTTCTGCCTGGTAGCAAGGGGGTAGGAGAGGGAGGAGGAGGCAGAGGAAAGGAAGGGGGGGAAGGGGGCAGAAATGACCTAAACATTGTATGCACATATGAAAAGAAACTTTTTAAAAGTACAATCAAACTATAAATTTTTACCAATCTCTTGATTATGGGATTAAGTTTACTTTCTAGACATGTTCTAATATTTCTCAGATACCTTCCAGACAAAAATGTTTGACTCTAAGACAGAATGCCATTGGGTACCACACTAGAAGACCAACAAACTTCCAATGTGCCCAATATATCTGTGGGTAGGAGAGAAAACTATGAGATGACAACTATTGAAGCTGTGTGATGACTACACGAAGACCTGAAATTGTGGTGTGCTGGTAAACTGGTTCTCTGTGGTGACAAAGGGCAGGGAATGCATTTACCAATTTCCAGTTCATGGCGTAAATACTCCTACCACAGCCAATTTATTAATAATCACTGAAGACAGAGTTGGAAAGACATATGCAAAAATGTCTCCCAATCAGAAATAGTTTTCTATAATAAAATTTTATAATGAAGTTAAAAAATATAAACCCTAATATAAATAAAATATTCACGTTACTTAAATTTAAAATCAAAATACAAAGCTTGTTTACCACAGGTGGCCCCTTACAACCACTACCATCCCACCCAGTCCAGTATGAAAAGCAATCAGATACTCAGTGATCTTTCATATTAAGCTTCCTCTTAGCTTTAACGCTATGTATCAAAGATGTATTCTGAAAGTCTTCCATCCATTTCTCAAGGTTTGATCAAATAAATCATCTATGTAATCTTTAAGTCATTATTTTCTTCATTGTGCTTGGTTTAGGTACTCCAAAGTGTATCATTCTAGTTGAAGAGCCATACTGAAGTTACCTTTTTCAATAAAATTCACCAGTTTGTTCATTCTATTAGTAAGTAGCACGTTCATTATTAATAACATGGAAACTTAAGTAGACTCCTTTTAAATCACTGAAAATTAACCCAAGATACTTAATGGTACAAACTACTGAAAAAGTATTCTACTTATGCAGTATCTTACTGTTAAATGAGAAATTACCATATATAAAAATTCAATTTTATTCTCATTTACTCAATGTGGAAATATCTGAATTAAGAAAAACTGACTTTATGTTTTATATAAACTATAAAAGGCCAACCAACTCACGTTGGATAAAATGAATAATTCTGAATTAGAAGCCAGTATGTAACATGAGTATCCCAAGAGAAATCCTGGAGATATAAAAACTCCTTAAGTCACTTTTTTTTTAATTAACAATGAGCACTCTGAAAATATTTTTAGCATGATCTTACTAAAATTAAAAATACTATTTAAGAAAGGGACATGGCAAAAGTATTAGGACTACAAACTGGAGTAAGTGATTTGTTTGGGTTGATGTTGGCTCCATGACTTAGTGACTGACTCCAGGAATTTGCTTAACCTCTCTAAACTTTATTATCTCATTTGTGATAGAGGTAAATGGTAAATATTGAGATCATACATATAAAGCACTTTTAGTGCCCAGCACATAGTAAGTGTCCTATAATCATTGGAATAAAAAATACTAGGGATAAAGAAAATCAAATCCAGTATTTGCAAAATATCTGTACTAAATGAAGAGTATCAAAGAAGTCAAAATTCGATTCCACAAGTCTTACACTTAGGGAGTCTTTGAATGAACACAAAGTTTTGAACCTAAAAAATAAGAAGCTAATAATAAACATATAAATTCTATGAATCATAAGAAAATTCTTCCCACCCATTTGTCAGACTCTTCCCAACATAAGCCTGAGAGTTTCATTGTACCTATAATCACATTGTTATTTTGTTTTGGATATTTTGTGTTAATCTTATTAATCCAGTTAATAAAAATTTCCCTCCAGTGCTAAGTATCAAAATTCAAGAAACCATAGAATTATTACAGAATGTTTGGTCGCTCCCATAATCAGTTTAATGTAGCCATTGAAAACTTAATTCACAGCTGTAATTTTTTTTCTTTTATACAAATACAAGTTAATTAGTCTATTTCAGTTGCAATTTTTTATTTTTATAAAACTTTGCAAAATATAAACACGGAAACTTTTAAGAATCTCCTAAGCTTTTTACATAAGTAAATTTCAAGTTCACAGTCTGTTCATTTGAACTATTTACTATTAACAGGAGACCTTAACACAACATCTCAGACAAGAAGGCATTAATTCTGCAGGCAGGTAGCAATGCTAAACCTGAAGAGTCACTGACCATCTCCTTACACAGTTTGAGTAAAAGATGTTGGCTACAGAATGAACTAAAAGTGAACACAGCTCTACTTTATACAAGTCTTTGAGGTCTATCCATAACATCAAGAAAAACTTAGGGCTATCCATCTCTCAAAGAAAAAAAATCTATTTTAATTTTAAATTGGAAAAAAAAAAGATGGCAATTTGCAAGCAAAACAAAGCCAGATTCACATTCTATTTACATGTTTTTGTATTCACAGGTCAAAATTAAAATGTTTCATTAGATAATTAAAAATAAACACTTTCAAAAATGCATTTTACTGCATCAATACTGCTGTAGAAACTCTGAATTTAAGAAAGGCTCTCTAAAGCAAAATTAGCTTAACTTTGCGGGGGCCAACTGGTCTATCATTTAGATCTTTAATGGCAGCCATAGCTTCATTATAGTTTATCATAGCAACAATGGCTTCTCCTGTGGGTAATCCTTGCTCGTTATACTGTATTGAAACTGAATCAGGTATGATTCTATAACCATGGAAAAAGTCTAAAATTTCATTAACATTAGCTTTAAATGGAAGATTCATTATCTTAATAGGAATTACTCTACCTGAGCCACAATTTAATTTTGGATCAGGCATAAATCTCCCCTCAGGAAAACCTCCCATATTACGCTTTCCAAAATCAAACTTGCCACCTTCTGGACGACCAAAATTCACGAAAGAACGATGACTTCTAAAATCATCAGGTGGGCTCCTAAAGTCCTCACTGGGAGGTCTAAAATTGCCAGGAAGTCTAGGGTCCTCCTCTGGAACTTCCCTGAGGTCTTCCTCAGGGAGCTGCCTGAAGTCCTCATCAGAAGGGCATCTCAAATCATCTTCCTGGGGGCTCCTGAAGTCCTCATCAGGAGGGCCCCTGAAGTTTTCATCTGGCATATGCCTGAAATCTTCCTCTCGGGAGCGCCTGAAATGCTCCTGAGGTGGCCGCCTAAGGTGCTCTTGGGGCAGCCTCCTGAAGTGCTCCTGGGGTGGCCTCCTAAAGTACTCCTGAGGTGGCCTCCTGAAGTGCTCCTGGAGTGGCCTCCTGAAATGCTCCGGGGGTGGCCGTCGGAAATGCTCCAGGGGTGACCTCCTAAAGTCTGCCTCAGGGGAATGCCTGAAATCCTCCTCGGGGAGTCGCCTGAACTCTTCTTCCCTAGGGTGCCTGAAGTCCTCCTCCTCCAGAGGGCATCTGAAGTCTTCCTCCTCCCAAGGACGCCTGAAACCCTCCTCTGGTGGCCGCCTGAAGTCTTCTTCAGGGGGCTGTCTGAAATCCTCCTCCAGTGGCCATCTCCAATCGTCCTCAAGAGGCCGTCTCCAGTCTTCTTCCCGAGGGTGCCTGAAGTCTTCTTCAGGAGGCCGTCTGAAGTGCTCCTCTCGAGGGTGCCTAAAGTCCTCTGGGGAATGCCTGAAGTCCTCCGTAGGAAACCTGAAGTCCTCTGGAGAATGCCTGAAGTCTTCTGGAGGGTGCCTTTCAGGCTGTCGGAAATATCCCTGGGGATGTTTGGAGTTCCCCAGTTGCCTCAAGTCCTCTAGCTGGTATCTAAAGTTTTCAGAAGGGCCAAATGAGTATACAGGTCGGTCTTTTGAGCCAAATAAATGGGAATGGTCATCTCTATCACATGACTGAGAACGGGCTTGCATTTTCTCATTGGTCATCAAGGAAAAATTTACACCAAACTCCTGCATTTGTGCCTCAGATATAAGTCTTAATAATACCTCTGTCCCTAAGAATCTTCGTCGGTTTAAGCGTTCAGCTTTCATGGCCTGTTCTTCTGATTTAAATTTCACCAATGCTTCTCCCAGACCAACTCCTTTGTCATCATAAAGCAAGTAAATATCATCCTCAGCAAGGGAGAAGTCTGCAAAGAACTTTTGCACTTCAACTTTTGTAACATCAAATGGAAAATTTCTTATATAGATGCATAGCTTCTGGCCAGGATAGCCTTCTTGAGAGTATTTTTGTGAAACATGTCCAGGTCTCTCTTTTTCTACTGACCCTGGTCTTTTCTTTTCATAACATTCAATAAATTTCAGCATTTGCTTTCTAGAA